CCTCCGGCCACCTGCACTCACCAAGCGAAACGCAGAGGTAAATCTCTACTTCACGCTGGTTTTCTGTGAGGTCGTGATACCACCCCGGTTCGAGCCGGCCCATCCGTGCGACAGCAAAAGCTGCCGCGTGGCTCTACCACTGTTAAGAATCTCTGTTTAATCTTTGTTGAATCTCTCTTTAATGCAGTTTGAAAATAAAAGAGATTAGTACAGCTTTCAGTGTTAACTTTTTCAATAGAAAGCCTCAACAATAACATACCCATGTTCTTTTGTTTATTGTAAGCCAGTGCCTGACTACAATCTCACTTGGTGAGAAGTGATGATGAAGCCCTAGGTGGTAAATCACACTGTCTTAGCTCCTATTCCCTCTTGCCTTGAAGACACCCAGATAGTAATTGGACGGAAAGACAAATGCTGGCCGGTTTCCACTCCTCTGCTGTAGTCATTACGAAAGACGTAACAAAGTGATTGGTTTTAAATTATTAATGCGTAGTATATGGACAACAAAGAGATGAAGGGTCATGATCGCTTAAAGGTTACGCTTGCGGCGACGTCGTGTAGATGTGCCGACTCACTTACACCACTTCCTTAATTTCTTCATAATAAGATCCTTTTTGATTTGGTCGAGGAGGGTGATAACATGTATCATACCTACTTGTGAACAGATACTGCTTGTGAGCGCTAGTCTGTTCGCATTTGTTATGTACTGAGAAGTTCGAAATATTAACTTTTTTTAAAGACTCTTTTTTTTAAAGATGTAGGTCTTCTTTACTGCCACTAATCCGTCTGGATAGGTACCACCCTCTTATTTCTTACCTATTTCTACCACCAAATAATTCATTAGTGCTGCGGCCATTTTACACTGCACCGTGAATCCAAGAATGTTAGAAAAGATCCAGATTCACCACCATTTACCAAGTTTGAAGGATTTGAAGTCAAGCTTATAATAAATAAAAAAGACCACAAAATAAGTCTTCGGTTTTATGCAATCTTTAGCTTAAGGTAATTATATAATGTATTTTTTATCTATTGAATTGTACTAGTGGTCGCCCAGTGGTCGAAATTTGACAGTAATTCACAAAGTTTTTAGGATTGAATACTAAGCAAGCTATATTTCACGGATATCTAATGTACAAAATATAAATTTAGATTCCTGCCAAGGATGATACGTGAGGCTATTGAAATTAAAAAAAACATCCTAATTTCAATAGAGGGGGAGGCTGGGTACTACCACCTGCTTGGGATCCTGTAATTCATAAAATTAAACCTTAACCCAAGCATACCACTGCAAGACATCAAAACACAGTTCATTCTGCGTAGGTCGGACCAAAATTAATGATTAAAAGCTGAAGGTACTCCGGGTTAACTTTGACATCGGGACGTCAATCACCTCAGTCCCCAGTGACCACGATTGCTGGAAAGCAACCGAAACGTCGGGAGTATAAAATAACTTAATTAAACGCGATAAAATCCGCAAAAGTAGTTTTATTCAATGTGTAGTGTTCGCGTAAATATAAGAAATCATTATAAATTAAACGCTTTTTTTGCTTAAACAATTGTGATTGTGTTCTCCTTGATAGGTACCTACTTTGAGACATTGGCAGTATAGTACGTCAACAATCGACATAATTATGCAACATTTGTGTTTGACATTGACAGTATGAACGTAAACAATGTATGTTTTAAATTATTTAATTTAATGTATTTGTAACAAATATCTACGCAAATAAATAAAATTGAAGTGTCTGTAATACACTTCAATTTTATATTTATATACGGTACTTATAACAAAAACAAATTTAAGTTTTTTTTCTGTGTGTCTGTTTGTCTGTTTGTTTGTTCCGGCAAATCTACGAAATGGCTGGACCGATTATGACGGGACTTTCACTGGCAGATAGCTGATTTTATAAGGAGTAACTTAGGCTACTTTTATTTTAGAAAAACAATTAGTGTTCCGCACAAAAAGAAATCAAATCCCATGAAATCAACCATAATAAATTCCATGCGGACGAAATTACGGGGAACAGCTAGTTTTAAATAAATTTTTGCTTCTTTAACTATGCGAAATCTCACATTCTACTTATCACTACTCCTACTACGTCATACAACTACTTAAAAATGGGTATATATACAGGTGTCGTACGCAGTGATGACGTGATGACCACAAATGTGAGCAGAAGTATGAATTTTCGGAATTTTATAAAACATGGCGTAGACCGCGAACCGTTCGAGATAGAATTTTTTTTTAGGGAACCGAGGCCACCTCTCCCTTGCCCGAACACGTACGTACCAATTATCCACCATTACTGGGACAACCTGTATATAAGATAATTTTAAATTTGTTTTTATTTTGGTTGTCTTCTCATTTTCTGCAGTCGGCCAAGAAAGCTTTTACTTTTTATGATTAAAAATATTTCAAAATTAGAATCTTAATTTTTATGAGTAGATGAATGAGAATAAAATGAGAGCTATTTAACCATATCATACTTGACCTATGCGCCATTTAACATTTTTCTTTTTAAAATACTTGATCCCCTAACTAAAATAAAATAAACTAAGATACAGTTGGTAAAATTAAAAATTTTGTACAACCAACTTCAATATAAATATAATTTATTGTTGATTTTTTTTAAAACCGCTCGACCGATTCCGGTAAAATTTAAATGGGACTAGCTGGGAAGTATACACTTTGAAACAAAAAAAGAATTTTCCAAATCGGTTCAGGCGTCTTAGAGTAATCGGTGAACATACGTTAAAAGAAAAAAGATTCCGGCGAATTGTAAGCCTCTCCTCCTTTTTAAAGTCGATTGAAAAGAAAAAAGCGACAGTAGCCTAATGGCCTAGAATTCGAAAAATCGTTTGAATCCGCTATTCGACTACTGTCCTGAACCACTCCTAGCACAATTACTTTAAGCTTTCCTGCGGGGTTAGCCAAGATGACATTCTGCGAACCTTTGATTATACTATACCTGTCGCGAACGTTTATTGAATGAAATCAACGCTGAGTCACGTGACTTCGCGTTCAGATAATATTAGCTTTCTTATTCGTTATAATAGTTTTCTATAGCATTGACGTTCGTAGAAAGTCGTCTTGGTTAACCCCACTGGAATGGTAAAAATGTTAGTAATGATAACAGCGTTGCTAATATTATTTTTAAATAAGATTTTCTCCTATATAATGCAAGTCTTATATTCGTTTATGTCATTTATACACTTCCGTGAAACTCCGTACAAACATTTTTAGCATACAAACACTTCCACCGCTTCGGGAATCAAAACCGCGGCACTGCAGTCAAATTTAGTCACTGCGCAGTGCGCACACAAACACAAATACACGAATCTGCTTTTGTGTAAATACCACTCGAATCCTAAATTATGGGTGGAAAAATATAGAGTGAAATTTTTAGTATAACTATTTAGATGGCATTCTTCCATTCTTATCATTCGACCTTGAGGTTGTGAGTATGGTTAGCTAGTGGCAAAAATGGTACATAAAACAAAATAAAAAACGACTTAAAAAAACAAAATGTATAAATAAATTTCCACCCAATTTAAAAGCTTCTGAAGGCCATAACTATTTATTCAATACACTGTATAATTAAAAAAAAAAAGATATTTTATTTTTCGAACAATTTAGTTTTTCGAACTTACATTTTAATTTTTTTTATGTTTAATTATAATTACATCCAAAAGAAAAACGTTCAGGTGTTTTATTACACGTACTATAATGGAAGAAGAAAGCATAACCAATCAAGAAGCGATCAAAGGCAAAACTATTAATGCATTCCTAAACGCAATGAGTAATAAAAAATTTAATATCCACTCGATTTGAAGAGGCAGGCGTGCTGGAGCTTAAAATACTCTCTATTTTGGGTGTGGGGTACATTCTTGCGCGCTGACTGGTCAGATGGTGTTGCCACTTTCAAACCGTATTTTATAGTCATTATAATAATCGTAGTTATTTATTGTAAAAACAATATACATAATTAAAACATAATTAAAACGTAAAATAAAATTAATTAACATAATTAATGCTTACTTTAAAACGTCCGGAAATTAATTAATAATTAAATTATGCATGCAATATTATACCAATACTATTTCTACCAAGTTATGAGAGCCGGTGTAGTACGTAAACAAACTAGATTCGATCCGCGATGTCAATTATATAACGGTTAAATGCAATTTTGTTTTTTGATTTACCAAGTGCTCGACGGTGAAGTAAAACATCGTAAGGATAATTTTACGAGGACGTGTGAAGCAGCAGCATTACGCTGCTATTTTACGCTAGTTTCCCGGTCGAGCCATCCTATTCTTGCTGCAACTATAATATAGGTGCACCGTGGTTCTACCACATTAAAAAAGTGTTTGTATGCCCTAAAAAAATGTTCCGGGACTGGATGTTTGTCTACGTGCTATACTAGTGGGGTACCGCTTTTTAACCGACTTCAAAAAAAAGAGGTTATCAATTCGACTGTACTTTTATGTGTGTGTTACCTCAGCACTTTTTTCTAGGTGAACCAATTTTGATGATTTATTACTTATTTGAATGATGGTGTTTTTCATGTGGTCCCATATACATTTCATAAAGATCTTGCCGGTAGTTTTTGAGTTATCCTTAATAATGCGTATTTAATTGACTTCGACTACAATGATGATGTTCTCATTTTATTCATATTGAAGTCGGTTGTGCAAAATTTTTAATTTTACCACTTATTTCATTCTTTAAATTTAATAAAACAAATAAATAGTCTGGAAATGGTTGACAACCCTAAGCCCAAACAAGGAATTGTTTCACATTTCGTACTTAGTAGTCGTACTACTAGATATGCCGACTAGTTGAACAGAGATCATATAATACTATTCTAATTAAATGAACGTACGAACGTTGTAGTGGTAATTTTTTCCTTCTTATCCCATTTCCATGTATAAAACCAAATATAAAAACCACACACCATATATAAAAATCTATCATATTAAACTGTCAAGTAAAATTCCAGGACACCTTCCTACAAGACTTGGGCGATGGGGACTACGCAATGGACGGCAGCGAGGACTGGGACCCCATCGATGACCCAGACACATCGACTTCCAAACCAGGCGCCGTGGTACCTTCGGCGATTACCAGGACCGACTCCGGGTACAGGGAGGTCGTGGTGTCCGCTGTAGACCCGGTCGCAGCCACCTATGAGAGACCGAGAATTCTAGACGACTGTAAGTTGTTATGATGATGGCGATTATGGAGGCAAACCTTAGTAGCGATGCGTCGCCACGTGAACAGTCGGTCTGAACCGCCGTTGTAGATGTTTATGTTGCGTGGCGACGCATGCCGTGGCGATTGTTAACATATACTTGAAGTAAACTGTGTTGTAGCGGTGTATGAATATCCACTATCTCATAACGGCTCCGTGGCGCAGTGGCTTAGCAATGAGTTGTTGCGCTGGGGGCCGTGGGTTCGAATCCCGCACGGAACAAGTATTTGTATGGCCTACAAATAATCGTTCCGGGTCTGAATGTTTGTTCTTGTGCAATTTGTGTTTGTAAACTGACTCCACGATACAGGAGAAGATGCTAGTGAGGGGGTAACGCTCTTTTTTTAAAAAAAAAACATGATAACGTCTTATCGTCTTGTGGGTGCCATAAGAGCGACAAAGGGAAAGAAGAGATGGGCAGCAGCACATTCCTGGTAACAACTCAATATAATATAAAAACTGCGGATGCCGACCCAAGCGCGGCTGCTATGTCGAAATCCCCAGTAGAGGCATTCTATGGAGGAGGCCTGTGTTTAACAGTGGACTTTTGTAGGTTGCAATGGCTCGACGCAATTGCATTACAATTGAATGCAATTCGACGACACCTCGGCGCAGTGGCTCAGTAATCAGCTACAGCGCTTAGGGCCGTAGGTTTGAATCTCGCACGGAACATGAATTTGTATGGCCTACAAGTAATTGGTCCGGGTCTGTATGTTTAATGTACCTTGTTAAAGTTACGTATCTAAACTGCCCCACGATACAGGACAAAATTCTAGTACGGGATAACATTTAAGAAAAGAAAATAGATGGATGAAATCAAAAGCAGCTCAAGTGGCTCCCAATTTGACTTCGTAAGAACACTGTTATGTCTCCTCGATAAAATTCTGCACGATCCATCCTCTCTCTTATATCTTAGAAGCCGATTTTCCTTCGCTTTTCCTCCGAATAAACCATGCAGATCGCTTGTTTAAACTATTCTTAACTTTCCCGTCCACAATTCCCGTTTTTACTCCTACTCCTTTTCTGTCCACGCGGTTCGGTTATGGAACTCACTACCGCTTAATATAAAAGGTTCTAAAACTTTATTGGCATTTAAGAAACGTGTAACTACGTGTATAAATATAAACTAGAACTCTACACACATCTCGACAACAGCTACACCTACCGGCACAGAATAAATAATAGTACTACGTACTATTATTATGTACGTATGTACGTAATAATAGTGCTACCGGGTCCAATTATGAATATAAACCATCCAGCGACCCACTCAAAAATACACAAAAAAAATTATCATAATCAGTCGAGCCATTTTTGAGTTTTAGCGACACTAACGAACAGCAATTGTTTTTTTATATAGAGAGATGTAATCGTTGTATAATATATTATTATTAAGTGGCGAAGCTTGCGAAGTCACTTATTGATTTCACGATGTCTGTGCGTCTGTCCGTCTGTCCCACGATTATCTCGAGAACGGTTTTGAATTTTCAAATTCTATTTTCAGCAATCGATTACTGATAACCCAGGCATCTGAACCTCCTATTTTGAAACTGATTGCTCAACGGCAACCGTTAGAAACCGCTACAAAGCTGATTGCTTCGCCACTTTGCTATGCTGTTAGCTTGCTAGGTTTATTAATTATCGTATCATTTAATATAGTTTACATAACATTATGTATATCTTATTAATTGGTAATAGTAGTAATGTATGCACTAAGTTTGCGTTTTTTAAATATATTTACCTTTAGTAGAACCTTTGTACGAACTTGCTATATGGCTGTTTCTGTGCCTTGTTATGTGTACATAAGAATAAATAAATAAATCAAAGTAACTGTCTCTCCCCAGCTAATCTCACGCCCGTAGAGCGAGTGGCACTACGTCGCGCTGCACTCGCCAACATGGGTACTGTGGTGCGAGCCGGCAAGTGCCTGACTCCGCAGGCGCGCTGGCTTCCTGTACGCCAGCTAGCGCCAGCTGCTGATACTGTGTGAGTTTTTTTATAGAATAAGTTTGACAAACGAGCACACAGTCCACCTAATGGGAAGTGGATGCTGTGGCCCATAGACATCTACATTTATCCTCAATTAAGAATCAAAATGCTGATACGTTGTCACCCCTGAGGATTGAGATGGAATGCCTCGTTTCCAGTAAAAAGAGTCCCCGGTTCTCTACACTCACTATACGAAACACAGCAGCATTAAGCTGCTATTTTACGCTGGTATTCTGTGAGAGCGTGGTCCTTCCTCGGTCGAGCCGACCCATTCGTGCTGTAACCACAATATAGCTGCAGCATGGCTCTACCACATAAAAACCTTCTGCGCGCAACGTTTAATTTAGTAAAAATTACTAGATGGTAGGGCTCCTATTCTGTGTAAGAGTTCGTCTGGGTCGGTACCACCATCTTGCCTATTTCTGCCGCCAAATAACTGTGCCTGCACTGCTGTGTTCCCGTCTAAGGGCTATAGAGAGACTTGAACTGTAATATACTGGCTCTCTTCAGTATTATACAGTCCAAGAAGCTTCTACAATCTTAAACCGTGAGGCTCTTAGAGAAAAATTTTAAGAAATTAATATATTAACTTTGGCCTCTCAGTATATTTACGTAAATTTAATGTATGTTCACAAAAACAAAGATAGTTTTAATAAAAAAAAGTGATATACACTCTGTAAACACTAGGAACAAACACAAGCTTGTGATACCGGTCTCTCGACTCCACAGTGTCAGTAATTCATTCTTGGGGCAATGTATACGCTATTACAACAAAGTCGCAGAAAATATACAAGGTATCTCTATTACCAAGTTTAAATATTTCATTAAACAAAAGCTCTATAAAAAGGGTTATTATAGTATAAATGATTACATGGCTGATAATAACCCCTGGGAATGAGGTGGTTGCTTCCAAACTGTTTCTAAAATAAATTTTGTAAATAGTTTGTAATCATTTATATTATAAAATATATTTTTTTAAAAAGTCCCGCTGGGTATCTTGCTGGTTCTTCCCAGGACAGAGGATATTTTCGAACCAGTAGTAAAGTGAAAAATGACTTTCAATAAGAATTACTTGTAATCAATATTGAATAAAAAATTAATCTATTATACTCTATTCTATTCCATCTTAGCCTTTAGAGCTGTGGGACATTTCTTTTTCAAGTTAACCTTATACAATATAAAATTATAATCATTAATATTAACCCCTTTATAACATGAAGACTTTGCTTAATATATATCTATATAAATGTTGTATATTTTGCGGGACTTTTATATTTGCCTTTCCATCTTAGTTCTCCGAGATGACAACGCTTCTGTTGCCTTCTTTGTTTAAACTTGGTTGCAGATGTCCATGGGCAGCATTAGCCTCTTGTCGTTGAGTGAGATTTAAATTCTTTTAATAAATCCAATTTTATAAAGAAAAAAGTCTTTCCAGCTTGAGTGGGTGGTTGTAGTTACATTATTAATAATAACCTCTTTATTACAGTTACATGCCGCCCTGCGTACAGCTGCATAGATGCGCTCCAGATTCCGGATGCTGCTATAGTGAAGCAGAAGTGTGTGCGCCAGTAGACGGGAAATATGTCGCTATACCATTTTATGTAAGTTGCTTAAGTAATATCTTCTTCATTGTCAGCCTATAAAAGTCGACAGCTGGGCATGGACTTAATTGTTCTGCTTTTCAGCCGGATTGATTAACGCAGTACCTGCCATTTTCCAACTCCTATAAGGCTATTTTACATATAATTACAGAAAAATATTTGCAGAATGAGACAAAGGTGTTTCGTGTTTTCAACCTTATAAATAAGGAGGGGGTACTCAATTCGACTGTATATTTTTTTATCTGTGTTACTTCAAAACTTTTTTCTAGGTGAACCGATTTTAATTACTACTTATTTTAAAGCGATAAATTGTTATGTGGGGTATCTATATAGTTTTTTCATCTGGTTAGCCTCTTTAAATATATAAATGTAAATGAAAATGATAAATATATACATAAATATAATAAATACATAAAAGTACATAAATAAACGGCTCCGTGGCGCAGTGGCTTAGCAATGAGTTCCAGCGATTGGGGCTGCGGCTTCGAATATCATAATTCCATAATTAATAAAAATAAATCCCAATCCAAGCATACAACTGCAAGACTTCATGATACTGTAAGTTCATACTGCGTAGATCGGAACAAAAATTAATAATTTTTAATCTGGATGTAGCCGTGGTTTACTATAGTAGTAGGTACTATGACATTGGGACGTCATACACCTCAGGTCCCCCCTCCCCCCGTGGCCATGGGTGCTGTAAAGTGCTCGAAACGTCTGGAATATAAAATAACTTAATATACGCGATAAAATCCATAAAATTAGTTTTATTTAAAAGCCTTGTGGAACCTCCCTTGGAGCTCTTTCTCCTTCCATACGGTCTCCCGGTCGGAAATGCACTGTACTGCTGGGTCTTGCCATTGCCCGTTGGCTAAGGATAGAGAGGTTAGCCCTTAACTTAGTCTAGAATTACTCATCCGATTTCGTCAGGAAGTAATTACGGAGTTCAAGGGGTTCAAACCCTGGGTTATTGCTCAGTATGTTTTGAAACTTTCCTTTGAGTTTGCTCGGGAATAGCTCTGGTAATGAGGAGTGTTTAAGACGAATTTTCTTCATAAGCTGAATAGATGCATTCACCGCCAATCCACGACTTTCAAGCGCTTCAATACTCGCAGATATGTGGGTGAAATATGCATGATTTCAAACATTTTGATAAAATATGTAACTACCGCTGAAAAAGGGATAAATATACAAATGCATATTATGATATATAGGATAAATATACAAATGCAAATGCATATAATCCGGTCTCAACTGATAACTAGAAGAAAAAAAAAACTACGACTGCCAAGCCCTCTGTCAATCGCAGCAGGTATGGAAAATATCTTACTTATGAGGCAAGCTATTGAGGCCAATGTTCAGCGGTGAACTTTTGGTGGGACGATATACTAGTCACAAAGTAACACGTTCATTTTCTGCCGACTTCCAAAAAGGAGACGGTACTCAATTCGACTGTATTTTTTTTTTGGTTTTTTTTTATGTGTGTTAGCTCATAACTTTTTACTGGGTGAACCGATTTCTATGATTCTTTTTTTATATGAAAGCTGATACATCTCGTGTAGTCCCATATGAATTTGATCAAGGTCAAACCAATAGTTTTTTTAATTATTCTTAATAACTTATATTGAAGTCGGCTGTTCAAGTTTTTTTAATTTTATATTATTATTTTCCAGTTGAACAAAGTGGACGGCAACTTCACTGTGGCCCGCATGTTATTCTTTAACCACACACGCTGCGCATGCGTGTCCCGTGAGACTCTGCAGAGTACAGCGCGGGCGAAGGTCGAGACGCATTCTACAGAGATCCAGGAGAGCACCAGGGAGAAACAGGTCGACTGGCGCCAGCCCACTGAGGAGCCGAGGCTGGAGAGAGATGAAGAGCAGACAGCGCCACCGCAGTTGCGCAGGTAAATTTGGTCATCAACAGAGTTCCGTTTTGATAATAAAATTAGCGCCCGCGACTTCGCCCGCGTGAAATTTATTACGATTGGATGTCATGGCTGTTAGCTTTTTTGCGCGGGACCCTAATTCTCTTTCTACAATAAAAGTAGCTTAAGTTATATATATTCCTTATAACATTAGCTATCTGCCAGTGAAACTCCCGTCAAAATTGGTCATGCCGTTTCGGACATTAGCTGGAACGAACAGACAGACAAACATTTTAAAAATTGTTTTTTTTTGTTATAAGTATGTACCGTATATATTTTCATATACATTTAGTAAAAAAATATTTTGACATTACTTAAAGACACTTCAATTATTGGTATTTTTTTTATAGGATAGGGTGACAAATGAGCACACAGTCCACCTGATGGTATGTGTTTGCTGTGGGCCATATACATCTACATCTATCCTGGTTTGCCAATCAAAATGCAAATGCGTTGTCACCCGTGAGGACTAAGATGGAATGCCTCTTTTCCAGTAAAAAGGGTCTCCGGTACTCTACACTCACCATACGAAACACAGCAGTGTTAAGCTGCTATTTTACGCTGGTATACTGTGAGAGCGTGTTCCTTTCCCGGTCGAGCCGACCCATTCGTGCTACAACTATATTACAAATATAGCTGCAGCATGGTTTTATATATATATAAGATGCTAAAACAGCGAAGTCGATCGAAGAAGTTTATCGTCCTCGACAGCATCAGCACTTAACAAGTGGGAGGGTAATGCTTAATAATGTAATAAAATCAATCAGATCAATTACGGCTACTGCGGCAAATCTGAATGGAGACTGGCCGCCGTAGCCGAAATTGTTCTAGGGTTATAGTGCTCGAGCGTATACGCAAATACAACTGCAGTCTCTATTCCCACACTCTCAAGTCCGTGATAGAAATCCGACACGATCGGAGAGAATTTAGGCGTTGGACCAAAAGCTTTACGTGCTTTCATTTCATTCATTCATTCATTTTGTTAAAAAAACGTTACCCCCAGACTAGGACTTTCTCCTGTATCGTGGAGGCAGTTTACATACGCAAATTGCACGAGGATAAACACCCAGACCCAGAACAATTCTTTGTAGGCCATACAAATACTTGTTCCGTGCGGGATTCGAACCCACAGCCCCAGCGTAACAATTCATTGCTAAGCCACTGCGCCACGGAGCTCCCCCACTCCGAGCCGTTACTAAGAATGAAACTTGGATCCGCAGGTGCACGTGCCCAGTGCTGTTCACCGCGCGCATATCGAACGGGGCGTGCACGTGCATCTGCGACTGGGCGGAGCCGGGCAGGCGGAGGGACTGCCAGTCGCTGGCGCGCGGGCGCGAGCACTTCGGGCTGCGCGACCGCGTGTGCGTGTCGCGCGGCGACTGCGCGCCGCCCGCCTGCGAGCACGGCCGCTACGACCCGGCCGCCGGCCGCTGCCCGCGCCGCTACCGCCGCCTGCGCTACCACCGCGCCAGGTACCACCCCGACAAAACTGTCATCGTGTGATGTCTCAGCATTAGTAACGTGTCGGCAAAACAAACTTTTCAATAAAAGTATTTTTTAATAAATCAATCCATCCCTTAGAGAATACATAAGCAAGCTATGCATATATAAGATCCATCCACGTTATATCACCAGCTTGACAAAACTGTCATCGTGTAATGATGATTGTATTAAGATGACGGAAAATGATTAAAGGTTTTCTAAATAAGAAACTTTTAATAAATCTATCCATTCATCCATTGCAGCCTTTAAGTCTTCTGTTGAACGTCCATTAAGAAGAATATCCATTACCCCATATCATCTCGTGGACGTCGTGAGAGGGGATAGAGGAAGCAAACCAGGAGATGGGCAGCAGTGTCGTTCTAATAACTAATGTAACAACTATAGCAAATATCCCCTCTATTAAACAATCTATGGCGTAGACCTGTGTTCAGCAGTGGATTTTTAATAGGCTGTGAATGTAATGTAACACAGGCCTCCCTCATTAATAAAGTGTCCAAAAATTATTAGAAGTATCGTAAAAAAGATAAGACCTAGTTTTTTACTATTTTGAATTTATATCAGGAAGATCCGCATTAGAACCAAACGGCTTGCTTCGTGTTTTGTAATACGTACAGCAAAGGAGTGAAATAATTTGCAGGCGTCTATCTTTCCGTCCGAATACAATCTGGGCGTCAAGGCAAGAGTGAATAGGCTTTTGTTACGCTAAGACAGTGCGATTTACCATCTTAGGCTGCATCATCACTTACCACCAGGTGGGATTGTGGCCAAGCACTGGCTTATAAAGTAAAATAAGTGTGTGTGTGTGTGTGTGTGTGTGTGTGTGTACTTATATACGCACGTAAGAAGTTATACTTCTTTAGCGTATCAAAACAAAAAAACTTTAGCGACAAGTTGTCGCTTTTAGGTATCAGTGTGCGCGCGCATAGTAACAACTTCATGGTGTCGTTTTTAGGTGTCAGTGTGCGCGCGTATCGTAAAAATACAGTCTCATCATTTTTCCCAAACGTCCCATAAGAAGTATAACTTCAAAAAAGATGCTGCTGCACATCTCATATTTCAGTTTCCCTATATCGCCTCTTACCACACACGCTTGTTTGATTTGCTTGTTGATTTTTTTTATGATTCGAAACACGAGTAATTTCGAATATAATTGACCTTCCGTTGCATTGGATTTTCGCAAAATGCCAATCTGCAATTTCAATTAGTACAATTTTCAATAAAGTATTTTGACAAACACTATATAATCGATTTTTTATGTAATCCGAGACATAATTACGAATAAAATATTATTCTCCAAATTAACTAAATGTTAGATTAATTTATCGTATTAACTACTAAGGGGTCATTTTACACATAAATTATTGATTTTAACGACTCTGAGTACTATTTTTTATAGGAAGAAAATAAAACCTTAGGCTAAAACTAAAGAGGTATTAGAGGATGAAGATAAAAGGGCTTCAATATTTAATACACAATCGCTTTTTAATGCCGTTTTGTGGATAGTTAAGTAGAAATAGCATACCTACCAAAAGATGAAATCCACAGAGTATATTTATTTACTAGTACTTTCTCCACTTTATCTTTACTCTTCATGACGTGAACACTGACAGCAACAAGGCTCAGAAGGTCTAGAACCCAGAGCCGTAAAGCCAGTTTTAAAAAAAGACCACAACATTTTTTTTTTGTAGGAGACTGAAGTATTATGTACGTGCCTTAAAATAATAATATATTTTGTAACATTTCCGTAAAGTATAATAATAGGTTTAACTATAAATACTGACAGTGCTCATCGATATATTATTTTTTCCGCTATTGTTAAAAATGGTGCCATACTTATTGTAGAAATCGCAAAGGCGTCGCATAATAATTTAAAATAATTTTATGAACATAATAATCTTAGATCTTTAATATTGTATGAAATAGTTGAAAAATTATTTATATGAAATTTAAACCTAAGTAAAGTCAATTGAAAGGCGGCCCTTTAACAATAAAATGGCGCTGTTGAAGTCGAATGCGTTCCGTTTTACTAAGTTCTGCTCTCCATATTCAATATGTACTTAGCTTGAACTGCATTATATTATCACGAGATTGTGATTTGGTCGCACTTACCTTACGAAATTGATTTTATCAAATGAAATCACTCTCCATTTTTCTTTTAACAAACGTATTTATAATTGTTCTGCGATTTTGAATTACTAATGTTTATCTAAGATCTTAAATTATTTATTTAAATTTGTCGTTCGAGTTTGTGCCAATTAACTGTCAAATTAGCACTCTGCGTGAGACGTTTGAGAGAATCAATAGTAATAGTAAATATATTATAAGTGCCTAGGTTACCTAAAATATGAGAACTATTAGTTGAATAGAAGCATTTAAAGATTGTTTTCTAAACACGCTAGAAGTTTAGTTTCACTTTTTGATGATGCATGGCGGCATCTTAGACCAACAAAGAGACATGGACGGAACGCTACGTACATTTCAAGCCAAGACAAAACCACTTTCAAGTTATTATAATAGAACACGTACTCACGCTTATATGCATCTGAAATCATTTGCAACCAACAACATGGTTTTAGTTGCGTATATGTGCGTCGAGCAGTGGACTTTTATGAGCTTTTAAAGAGAGAAATGAAAGAAAAAAGTGAAAATGGTTTCTTTTTCTAGTCTGGTGTTCTGTCTATCTTCTTTATTGGTCTGAAGTTATGAAGTTGATGAATATCTAATCCTAATTTTTATAAATAATTTAATTTAACTAATTCATGTTTAAAAAATAAATCATATAGCAAAATCAGTATTTTTTAGAATGTGTACCTATTGTTAAGTTTTAAAATGTAACTGAATATCATTTTTAGGTTTTCAAGACTAATTTTTTTGACGGCCTATTAATCTCTTAAGATTTTTTAAGTAATACTCTCACTGTACATTGCATAATATATTTTAATCGTTACTTCAGTAAGTTTGACTTTCGCATGTAGATATTAAGTTAAATTTAAGTTGTAAATAAATTATGTTATCTAGTAATTGTTTTATTTATTACCATCCACATTTGGTAGATATTTCGAATATTCGCACTAAGCGCTATAAGTCATCTTTCATAATGCGCACAGCCAAGGAGTGGAACGCCCTGCCGGCCTTTGTTTTTCCGGAGTTTCCGATAACCTTAACCTCTTCAAGGTGCGTATTAACAGGCTTCTCTAGGGCAAACTCGCTCCATCGTAGACCTCATCTTTGGCCTTGGGCCAAATGGAGGTCAAACGTGAGCCTAGTTTAATAAAAAAAACACCTACATATTATTAGGGCTGAATCTGAACGACTTGGTGAGAAATTGTGTGATAAGAGAAGAGAATGGTTTGCAAGATGATATTGTGACCAGGATCACAGATAACTATACAGGAGTATTTTTCAAAAAGTATTCAAATTTTAAACTTAAGTTCTAATTTATAAATAATAATATAACGTTATTGCAGTTTTTGAAAATGCGAGTAAATAAGGTTTCTACAATGGAGGCGAGAGGTTTGTCAGGATCGTGCGAAATGAAAATCCGTAGACTCTGCCTACCCCTATAAGTGACAGACAGTTTTTTTTAATAACTATAAAATACTGGCAATGCTATTAACATTACTAACATTCTACTAAACTACTCCGGGTAAGCTTAAAATGCTTGTGTTAGAAGTGGTTCACGACAGTAGTCGAATGGCAGATTCGAAGCCACGACCTCTTGAGTTCGCGGTCCGCACCCTACCGTTAGGCTACTGTCGCTTACTGTCGTTTATGTATGTATGTATGTATGTTCATAATATTAAATAAACCACACCAGTGCTCTTAATATCACGTAAAAGGTCGTTTCATCTCGTAGGTGTTATAAGAAGCGACTATAGGATATGCAAGAAAGGTTATACCAGACGTAAGATTTGTGTATCGTAAAATCAGGAATTTGCATTTAGAAAAACCCAAAATTAAGGGTTTTTTAGGTGCTAATTAGGTGCCAAGTTTAAAAATTAGGTGACCTAAAATTTTCAACGTAACGAACTGTTGAAATTTGCGTTGCTAGCAAAACGTATCGCTAGCAACGCATTGAAGTTATTAGATATACGATAAATATTAATAGCAAGGAATTAAGTGCTAATTAGGTGCTGCAACTATAGGCAATAACAAGGCACCCCTTGAATAAAACTATTTTTATGGATTTTATCGCGTTTAATTAACTTATTTTATATTCCCGACGTTTCGGTTGCTTTCCAGCAACCATGGTCACGGGGGACTGAGGTGATTGACGTCCCGATGTCAAAGTTAAACCGGAGTACCTTCAACTTTTTTAATTAATAATTTTGGTCCGATCTACGCAGAATGAACTAACTGTGTCTTGAAGTCTTGCAGAGGTATGCTTGGGTTTAGTTTTAATTTTATGAGTTACAGGATCCCAAGCAGGTGATAGTACCCAGCCTCCCTCTCTATTGAATTTAGGATGTTTTTTTTTAATTTCAATAGCCTCACGTATCATCCTTGGCAGGAATTGATGTTCTTTCGCGAGAATTTGTGGCACACACAAGAGAGATACCATTTTGTCAGTGAGATAAAAGACCTATGTCTTACTGACAATGAAACTATGGTCAGTTTTGATGTTGAGTCTCTATTTACATGCCTACCTGTTGAAGACTGCATCTCAATTGTAACTAGGAAACTAGAGGAAAACAACATGCCAGCAGAATATGCAGTATTACCCAGACATTGCCTTACATCTGGCTATCTATTGTGGAAGGAACAGTTTTACAAGCAAGTAGATGGTGTTGCGATGGGCTCACCAGTATCCCCAATGTCGCCGATATTTTCATGGAGGACTTTGAGGAGAAAGCCCTGGTTACTGCACCAGTAACTCCTTTAACTAACTTTCTACAAGTGGTAGAAACTTGGAGTTACTGGTGGTGGAGCGGTTCTATATTCAGTGGTAGAGCCACGCGGCAGCTTTTGCTGTCGCACGGATGGGCCGGCTCGAACCGGGG